ACAGCTGAAAGGGCGAACATGTTTGGTGAGACGGGGATTCGAACCCACGACTCGTAGATTACAGGTCGAGCGCTCTAACAACCTGGCCATGCCGGGCCAGGTAACCATTTTGTTTAAACAACAATATTAGGATCAATTAAAACCAAGAAAGAATCTGGCCTGAAGGGCGTTATCATTTAAATTTGTCACTTTAAAACGTATCTATTTCACCTTATAATACTACCTAAATCGTGAAGATAACCATTAAAGATAACTGAATTTGACATTGTTATATTAATCTCTTAAAACAGTTTTGTTCAGCAAATATATTTAGTCGAGTAACTTCGTTCGGCAATGACTGAATTATATATGTATATATATATATGTAATAGCCAGATGTCTGTCTGTCTGTCACGCTCTGTATCTCCCGAACAGTTAAAGATATTATATATCAAAAATACTTATTTTCAAAGGTTCATCACAGGAAAATTAATCATTTTATTTTCCAATTCCCAAAATTCTATATCGATATCAACACCGATTCGTCAGTCTTCGTATGTGCTGAACGGTCAATCTGGGAAAAAATTATATTAAGAACAAAAATGTTTATTTTATGTGAGGGAATTTCACTACATATACGCTATGATCCAAGAGACTGGGTTGATAAGACATTTTTAATTTATTCATCACTATTTCTAGGAAAATTATCATTGAGTTGTTTCAACGGGTATCTACTAGTTTATTTTAATGATATACTGAAGGATGGGCTGAGTATGATAACGGTATTTAAAGTTCAGAAATTTAGTAATCACTTGAAGCCTAGGATATAAATGTGCGCATTAGTTTTTATTATCAATAAATTGGGGACTTCGGTTATATATGTCATAAATCTGTATATATATATATATTTCAAATAGAAGTTTTTTTGAGGTCATATCATTAAGTTAAGACTGGTTTTATTAATATTATCAATATGTTCTCTGTCTCTCACTTTCCATCTACATCTATATATATATATATACACCTTTTTCGATGACGAAGAACCCACTTTGAGACTAATAATGGCTGGAGACGGCTTGAATGGGTAATGAAAAAAAACTTTAATATAACAGCAAATGTACAACGTTTCGACAAGGTTTTGTCATCATCAGACCATTATATACACCTTTTGTTGTTTTTTAATGGGTTAAGTCCAGTAGTCTACGAATTGAAAACATACTTCTATTGATAGATGTTATACCTTTAGCAGTCATGTGGAGAAGTGATTGAAAAGTGTTTTCTTTTATTATTATCTTTAGAACTTGAACCTTTAAATAAATACTTGCGTTAATATAACTTTGGCTACATGTTTCAAGAATAATACACTATTAGTATGTTAGTAATACTAGCTATCAGCTGGTACACAGAGGAGGGAAAACATGTTTGGAGTACAGCTGAAGGTATAATAGGTAGTGAGAGAACCGTTCAATACACAGCTTTTAAATGAGAAAAACTACCATAGGTAGCGCTGCAAGTTTTATTTCGTCTTAAGAATCCAATTTCAGCATTGCTTGTTGCGTTAAATATTGAATATGTCATCCATCCATTTCAACAACAGACTCCAGACGAGATAGGACAGTACCAACAAGCTTGCCTTCAGTGAATTTCGTCACGTAACGTTGATTGCGATTTTCTGCTCGAGTGTTAAGATTGGGAAGTTGTAACAATCCTACTGGTCGATGAGAGAAAGAATGAGTTCTACAAAAATTCGTTATTTTAAATGCAATTCCTAATGGCATCACGTGATAGACAAATGCAGCTTCAAATCACTGTACAGCGCCATATTCATTTTTATACACCTTTGACAACTGGTAAAGCTGTGGGCTGTATGGTTCTCTCACTACCTACCAACCTATACGTTTATGCCCAAATTTATTTTGTATCAACCAGTACGTAATCAAATCTACGTTTATAGAAATATTTATATTTATAAGAAGTTAATAAACAATCATATTATATTATTCAACAAGAGTTTTCAACTTTTACTATATATGTCCAGAATTAGGGCGTATAATAGATATGAAAAAGTACAACTAGAATTTTCAACTTTTACTATATACGTCTGGAATTAGCGCGTATAATTAGGGCGGATAATAGGTATGAAAAAATACAACTAGAGTTTTCAACTTTTACTATATACGTCTGGAATTAGCGCGTATAATTAAGTCGTATAATAGGTATGGAAAAATACCTATATAGTTTGATACCTGTAAGCGCTTTGATTAATGATAACTTAGAAGCATATAAATACGCAAGAGTACTCTGGTAATGAAGACACTTCAAGATTTTGAGAGCTTGTTTAGAATATTTTTTTTCTTTCACTAATGTTGTCAGCTCAAACAGATGTGTAATGTTGATTAAGAATTTCATTATAAAATACTTTAGAGTGTTATTACCTTGGTGGAACCTACGTCACAATAATCTAATTTGCATGTAAATTAAATATGGATGATTTTCAATTAGATTCAATCTAACGATAATCTGCAAGAATCCTAAGTTGCACGTATTGTAATTGGTTAATCCGTTGTCAGTTAGGGTTAGTTGTCCGTATAGTAAAATGATTTAGGAAGTTAATTGTCTGATTCCATTTCTGTTCCACCACTTTGGTTAACTAGCGTGGCTCTGTATTTTGTCGTAAACCTACTAAATCTAAAATTAAAAAAAGTTAGAATCTGTTTGTAATTAATCACTATCGTAGACATTGACAAACGAATACGAATTCTAACTCAAACTTTTTTTTCTGTCTAAACATGTATCATAGCTGATAAAAATCACGTCTCCCTACACTTAAAAAACAAACAAAAACTGTTTTTAGGTTTGATTCCATTAAGGAAATGAATTCTACCCCCCTGAGACTCATGTCACGTGTGAAATAAAATAGTCTAATAAGCATTAGATTAGATTCTCTGAGAGGGCGCTTCATGATGTACTTGTTAAAGTGCTGCCTGCTAAAATCAACAAAGCTAGTTGATGATAACTGTATTTCTCATCTGTAATCACAGAATTATGCAGACCATGTTCTCAAAGTACCAATTCCAGTAACATGCTCTAAGACTGAAACGTTTTCTACCATTCTTGTTAAGGGACAAATTTTCTTGTTGCTGTCGGTTCCTATAAGTGTCAGAACTTTTATTTTATTGGAAGTCCACTAGGCATAAAATCTTGTTGGATAAAAAAAAAATATTTGTTATTGTCTATGATTGCAAAATACTTTTTATGCATTATTTACTAAAAGAAATGCAATATATTGAGCGTCAGTTTTTCTGTTTTTAGTTTGCTTTTTATCTAAAATATTAAACATTTTAAAAACTGAGCTAATAAAGACTACTGATGTGGCTTAAGTAGTATTTTTTATTTTGAATTGTTTTCACCTTTTTTATTGATTTTTCCTGTTTGGTGGTGTACAACAGTTTAAGTAATTTAACTTAAGGTTTCTGTTTGTTTTCATTTTGTCTTTTTGTGTCTAACTTATGAACAAGTAAAAATATGAAGTAATTTTAAAACAAACCAATCATCCTTTTCATGTCATGTGTAATGGAACATTCTAGAATGTTTCGGCCAACAACAATTTAATATAAACCGACATGACGGTAAAATAAAACATCTAAGCCTTAATGGAAACTGGCATTGCTATGTATATTTTTAGTAAGTTTTAAAACATTTATTTATTTATTTAAAGACTGAATATATATATTCGACGTGGCTTCTAACATTGTTTATAGTTATAAAAATTAACTGGAGGTAAGATATGGAAACGTGACCGTACATTTTAAAGCTTTAACACAACCGATATCTTCTTTATTTAGCTTTTTTAAAATTTTTTTTCAGGGCTGATTCCTGTTTCCGATGTGTTGTAATTCATGAAAGACATGAAAATGTGCTACAATACAAAGAAAGTAAGTACACGAAGCTTGGATTCCGTGCGGTTGAGGCAACGTTTCTAATGCTTGTAATAAAACCAAGTTTGAACACAAGGCTCCTAGAAACAAATATGGAACTGGCTGTAAAAGGTTTACCTATATATTACTTTGTGTGCTATGCCATAGATGTTCTCGAGATGCATGAGCACTAAATGGATGACAGTTGTTTTTTTATCAGTATTTATATTTTTTTAAGTTAAAGGAAAACTTTTAGTTTATTTTCATATTCTCCGAATCCTTAAATTTGGTTAAATTCACTTGAAATGAGCTCTCAGTGAAATGCGTTCGTATTTTATCCTACTTTTAGCGTACTGTTCTTCTACCAGAGACTTGGAAGAAAAGTGCCGAGAAATTAGTGGCGACGCTCTTCTGCACTCCATGTTCAGGTGTAAGTACATCCTTTCTACTTGTTCTCTCCTACACTCCATTTTCAGGTGTAAGTACATCCTTTCTACTTGTTCTCTTCTGCACTCCATGTTCAGGTGTAAGTACATCCTTTCTACTTGTTCTCTTCTGCACTCCATGTTCAGGTGTAAGTACATCCTTTCTACTTGTTTTCTTCTGCACTCCATGTTCAGGTGTAAGTACATCCTTTCTACTTGTTTTCTTCTGCACTCCATGTTCAGGTGTAAGTACATTCTTTCTACTTGTTCTGTTCATACACACGTTCATTGGTCGCTGGTTTTCTAACTATAAATAAAATGTAATTTTTCGTATGCTTCGTATTTACCTCACATTTTCTCAAGATATTCGAATATTATTATGAGCATAAATTCTATTTTCTTTATTGAACATTTTAAGCTCCATCTCTTAATTATGAAATGAACTAATGGTCAGCGAATCGAACTACCGTTTGAAGGGTCCGGGATTCGAAGGATGACATCTTTGAACTTGCTTCACACTTTAAACGGTGAGCGAGTTATAAAAGTTACAGTCAGTCCCGTTATTCAAAGACCCTGACGAAGCTCTTATTTTTAACTTTAAAATGCCTAATAAAAATGCCTTTCTGGCTGAGAAATCTACTTCCAATATTAGTAGAACAACGTAACTAACATGTACCATCTCCTAGTCGTATTTTTTATGTGTAATTAATTATTTGTGTATTTAAAACTTCTTATTTTTCACTTATGAGTTCTAGTAGTTACCTTCAGGCATTTATCGACCAGTGCTTCAGTTTCTGATAAGAATTTTTGTGTCGAAATTCGTAACGTTTGTCCAGTTTAACCAGTAATCATCAGATATATTTATCACTTAAACCGCGTAATTCAAAAGAAGTATCTTGATAGATAAGTAATTAGTGCTAATATATGTATATTTTAAAACTAATTCCAGTTACAAGTTGTATATATCGTTTTGTAAGAGGTGTACGACTAAGTTCTGTTTATCATTGTATTTTTACTACGACATTTATAATCAGTATTTTTCTTGTACGTATACCCACATCTATTTGTATAATTTATTGACAAGATGAAAATAAACATTTAACTTGCAAATCACAAACTTATTTTTATATCGTTCACTACAGGGAAGGTCCAAGTATTATATCCTGTTGAAGGTCCAAGTATTATATCCTGTTGAAGGTTCAAGTATTATATCTGTTGAAGGTCCAAGTATTATATCCTGTTGAAGGTCCAAGTATTATATCCTGTTGAAGGTTCAAGTATTATATCCTGTTGAATGTTCAAGTATTATATCCTGTTGAAGGTTCAAGTATTATATCCTGTTCAAGGTTCATGTATTATATCCTGTTGAAGGTCCAAGTATTATATCCTGTTCAAGGTTCAATTATTATATCCTGTTGAAGGTTCAATTATTATATCCTGTTGAAGGTCCAAGTATTATATCCTGTTGAGGGTTCAATTATTATACTCTGTTGAAGATCCAAGTATTATATCCTGTTGAGGGTTCAATTATTATATTCTGTTGAAGATCCAAGTATTATATCCTGTTGAAGGTCCAAGTATTATATCCTGTTGAAGGTTCAAGTATTATATCCTGTTGAAGGTTCATGTATTATATCCTGTTGAAGGTCCAAGTATTGTATCCTGTTGAAGGTCCAAGTATTGTATCCTGTTGAAGGTCCAAGTATTGTATCCTGTTGAAGGCCCAAGTATTATATCCCAACACTATTTAAAAGAAACTGACCAAAATAACTGCATGAAAATACGTGTTTTTCTTGTAACTCCAGCAGTAGTGAGTGAGATTAATTTATAATGTTGGTATTTTCTATATTTGTTTCTTTTTGATAAATACAGAGCTACACAATGGGCTATCTTTTTCTGTCCAAATAGGGTATCGAAACCTGGGTTTAATGTTATAAGCCCACAGACTGACCGCTGAGCTATCGGGGGAATTTTTTTATTATGTGAATCGTATGCTATTAGAGATCCTGTAACCAACAATATCGTGGATGTACAATCAATTTGTTTCATACATAGTTTAGAAAGACATGTTTAAAAAGCCGATGGGAGACACCATTAGTAATTCGGGGGTTAAAAGGTTTTGATGTTTACACTTAACACAAGAGAGACTGTTTAACAGGTTAACATTTAATTTTCAGTGGACACCACACCGATACCATGTCCTTTTAAGGGTTCTTTCACCTTTACCTACAACCGAGGTCACGGCGAATGTAGCCATCCAGTGTCCACTGTTGACTCTTGCACTGATGATTCTCACCTTTTTTTCAAATTCCAGGCATGCGCAAATGTGCGTAACTCAGAAAGTAGAGGTAAATTCTTCACATACTTGCAGGTCCTTATTCATAACGAGCAAAGTGTTCTTTCATTTAGTTAATTAATCCAAGAGAACATTTGGTTTTATTCCTATGTTTATTCATTTCAACTAAAATTTCTGGATAATGTCACACGTTCGTAATGTTCGTACGTAGGCCTACTCATAGTTCGAAAACAGTGTAGTCTTCAATTTTAGGGTATTTTAACTAATTTATAACAATTCCCATGAATGGTATAATGTGAATTTAGTGAAGCAGTAAAGTGTCGTATCATTTACCTAATGTTTATAATCACTTAACAAAATCACAGCTATGAAAATAAGCACAATTTGATTTTAATAAGTCATAAAATGTACAAATGCACATCTGTGCAAATACTGAAACACATATGTGAGAATATAAGAGGAGGGGGGGGGGGGTCACAACCCTAATCTCCAATACAGTGAGGCTACCACCTGCTTCACTTGCCCATGAATCTTGATATGTTTACGATTTCCCCAACTTAAGTTGCGTTTTCGGTCGAAATTAATGATATGATATAAACAGATAAATTTTCCGAAATGAATATGGTAGCTACACATAAAGATAATGTAAAAAAAGGGGGTAAAGATAATTTATTGGTCATTAATTTGCTTATTTTAAAGTTAATTTTCCTTGTGTTTTTTTTCTAGTTTCTGTCATACCTTGGCTCAAGTTTCCATTGTAACTGTAAATATTTTCCGAGAAAATACGCCCCCTGAAATCCTTTCCCCGTACCCACTATAACATTTGATAATGTCAGTTGTGAATGTGGAGATGTCATGAAATATATTCCTCTTAGACCGTTGTGGTTGGTTTCCTTTTTTATTTATAGAAGAAAAAATGACTTGTACAGGAACGTGGAGGGAAGGTTCGACACGATATTTAATTGCCAAAATGGAACATAAAGATACCATTATGGAGGAGGACAAGTTTCGATGTCTTGTAAGTCAGTCAACATTAAGTTAGAAGTTGTTTTTTTATTCTCGTATCATTCTTTATACTTTAATGTCATATTTCCTCCAAGTTTCGATGTCATCAATTCACTAATTATTTATTATTTTTCATTATGGATTAATAGACTGAGAGTTTTTGTTTTATAATTTACAGGTGTACGAAAAGCTAAAAAATGAATCGGGTTATCAAATTGCCCAATCAGGAGACGCCACGTGTGATGGATTATTTTCTGCTATGGAAGGATCTCGAACAATGACACTTATTAAGAGTGGTAGGTAACTTTTAAATGTAGAACTCAAGTCAAATTTTACTTTCTGTTTAAATCGATTCTTTGGATAATTAGTTTAAAAGAATGAAAATTCTGTTTATGAAACAAAAATAGTTTGTAATAAAATATTTATTTATGTAATTCCAAAAAATAAAAATCATAAACTTCTTGGCAACAGAGCAAAGTTTTATTTCGGGTGTTTCACCTAAAAGCAAGCTTTTTCTTAGAACAAGGCATTTGAACCAAAAATTCTAACTTACGTAAATACGCTTAAGATTCTGTAAACTTGATTAAATGTGTTAAAGTCCTTCCTAGAAAAATCGGCTTGCAAGTAAAACATCGATATATAGTAGTGTAAACTTGATTACATCTGTTAAAGCCCTTCCTTGAAAAAAGGTTTATAGGTGAGAGTCGGTAACATACTCTCTTGGAGACTCGTCGTACTTTTATATTTCGAAAATGGCTTCCCTTAACTATTATATTCTGTAAATAAAATCACTGAATAGTTTCATAAATGCTTATTACTTTGATTTTAGCTTCTTAAGGAGAAATAATGTATATGTGATACAGTATAACTATGATATAATGTATATTTAATACAGTATAACTATGAAATAATGTACAAGTAATACAGTATAACTATGATATAATGTACACGTAATACAGTATAACTATGAAATATTGTATATGTAATACAGTATAACTATGAAATAATGTATATGTAGTACAGTATAACTATGAATATAATGTATATGTAATACAGTATAACTATGAAATAATGTATATATAGTACAGTATACCTATGATATAATGTATATGTAATACAGTATAACGATGAAATAATGTATATGTAATACAGTATAACTATGAAATAATGTACATGTGATACAGTAGAACTATGATATAATGTATATGTAAAACAGTATAATTATGATATAATGTATATGTAATACAGTATAACTATGAAATAATGTACACGTGATACAGTATAACTATGAAATAATGTACACGTAATACAGTATAACTATGAAATAATGTACACGTGGTACAGTATAACTATGAAATAATGTACACGTAATACAGTATAACTATGAAATAATGTACACGTAATACAATATATTTATGAAATAATGTACACGTAATGCAGTATATTTATGAAATAATGTATATGTAATTTCCGTAAAAATTTGTATGAAAATTGTACTTTAAACGTCTGTCATAATAGTAAGTTGTGAAACAGCGATTTATTCACCCAACTTTCGCTCACACACTTGACCAGCCTTGACCTCTGACCTTGTCTTTAGCTAAAATCTCAGGTGACAACTTTCTTTAACATTAAACTCTTGCGTCGTTTGTACTTTAGGATTTGGTATATAAACCCGATATCTGAATACGACAGACGAATGTTTTGTTGAAACATATAGGATGTCCTTCAAAATAAAGCCTCTTCATTATGTTTATAAGTCATTGTTGTTATTATATTACCATACTTAAATATACAAGTAAAAGTCTTATTATATGCATTAGATGACGATGAAACAGTAAGACGTGTTAGAACTTTTATTATTATTATTTGCTTCACGTGATTAATGAACGTGTACAACTGTTATTTTATAAGAACGCGAACACTATAGGCTAACTGCATTCTGTCCACCACAGGGAAGGAACCGAATCCCGTATTTTAGAGTTGCAAGTCCATATGTTTTTCCGTATTTTTACAATTAATTATATGGGAAACAACTTTTCATGTCCGAAGATAACCTTTGCTTAATGACGAATTTACATAAGTTCCGACCAGAAGACGATTACTCTAGCAAGTTATTCAATAAAATAGTGTAGGAATAATTTGGACTCCCCACAAGAATAACATGGGGTTATCCGTGTGAATAACATAGTAATATCTATAACAATAATAAATAATTATCCAATAAAATAGTGTAGGAATATCGATAAAATAATTTGGATTCCCCATAAGAATAACGTAGGGTTAAAAATACGTTTGTTTGTTTGTTCTTAAGCACAAACCTACGCCATAGACTATTTGTGCTGTGTCCACCACGAGTATCGAAACCTTATTTTTAGCAGTGTGAGCCCGCTAAGCCCCTGGGGTCAATTATAATTAGGATAAACATAATAATATATAGATATAATTCACAATTCAATACATAATATAAAACAAAGCTTTTTTTTAAGTATTCATGTATTTACGAATAATTGTTTTGCATAAGCTAACAATAACTAATCATCTTCAAAATGATTTACATTTTTACGGAAGTTGGTTCTCGAACATCTTTAGATATGGACTTTCTTTCAGAGCATCGCCCATTTTTTGGTCCAAAAGGACTTTCTTAGAACTATTTATACTGTAGTTTTATTCCATTCGAAATTTTTTCTACCTTACATATACATTATCAACCATTACGCACTGAAAGAGCTCTTATCTTCGGGATCGATACAAAATCAATCAGATCAACGCCAGCAATATTCCTTGGATTATTACGGATTGCTTAAGTACTTGGTTTAAAAAAATTAAGGGAAAATTAAATTATAATTCCAAAGAAAAACGTCAGAAGAATGGTAGTTTAAAAAAGTTAAAACAATAGTAGTTTAAAAATGTTAGAACAATGATAGTTTAAAAACGTTAGAACAATGGTAGTTTAAAAACATTAGAACAATGGTTGTTTAAAAACATTAAAACAATGGTAATTTAAAAACGTTAGAACAATGGTAATTTAAAAACGTTAGAACAATGGTAGTTTAAAAACGTTAGAACAATGGTAATTTAAAAACGTTAGAACAATAGTAGTTTAAAAACGTTAGAACAATGGTAATTTAAAACGTTTGAACAATGGTAGTTTAAAAACGTTAGTACAATGGTAGTTTAAAAACATTAGAACAATGGTAGTTTAAAAACATTTGATCAAACTTTTTATCCCTAGTTCATCGTGATGG